AAAAAAATTTTTTTTAATTAGACATACTCAATTTCATCTTTCATTTGAAATGAATTTACTCTCAATTTGATTGTATTCACTGAATAATTAACATAACTTAAGTGTACTTCAATTAATTATCATTAATAAAAAATGCAAAAAAAAAAAGAAAACATTATGACTGACCAATCTTGGATAGAATGTTCTACATAAATAGACAATAGTATGAAATATGATTTCTTCGTAGAGTTGAAATAATATATAGTTATAGCTTAGCAGAACTTTACGAATATATATATATATAACCTCAGTTTCTATTTAATAATTTTATAATAAAAGTCTGATTATAATAATGATTTGTATTCTCTGAATTTTTTCGTTGTTAATTAAATAAATGAGGTTGGACTGTTAACTTAGTAATAGCGATTGACTAATTCTATGCTTTACTGACAAGTAATCATGTTCAGATAACATTGTATATTTTTTTTTACTGTTTACCTATCATGAAAAAAGCAACGAATTTCGAACATAAAAATTCATAAATTTTCAAATAATTATATTTTTCGATATTATAATACATCGAGAAATAATTGTTTAAAATTAACATATATCAACTATAGAAAAAAAAAAAAAAAACGAAAAGATCGATCGGTAGGCACTTGAAGTACTTTCTCAAAGAATTTTATGCATATGTTTCTTGAAACTAGAAGATAGATTGAATAATTATACAAGAAAAAAAAAAACTTAACTTTAATTATGAATTTGAGTAAAATTCATCGATTTCAATTAATATATACAAGTAGTAATACATTCAAAAAAAAAAGTATTCGATATTAAATATCTTTTGAATATCATTAAAAGTGCTTGTTCTAAAAAATTATTTCAATATCTTACCTCAAATATCCACATAATCAAGGGAAAACTAACAATAAATAGAAGAATACTATTCTTGGTCCTCTTCAGTATTCGTATTGGTTTTGTTGAGAAAACTCGAGAAAGTGACGACGTAAAAAGCAGAGAAGAGGGAGAGAGAGAGAGAGAGAGAGAGATGCAGAGAGAGGAATTATTATAAACTGAATGCAATAAAATGAATATACATACTATTTGCATACATAACGGGGAGCGCGGACACGAGCTCCTGTTCGCCTCTCAACGATGAGGAGATGCAAGCATGTTACGTTCACGGCGCGAGAAAAAAGAAAAAAAGAGAACTTTGGAGATGGTGGCTAATGAGATCAAACTCGAATTTGAATATATATATATATTTATATGTATGTATGCATTCTCTTCTTATTTCATTACCTACACTAGTATATAAAACATATGATACAATAGAACTTCTAGAACTTGTCGATAATAATAGTAGTATATATACATATCGAAAACAAGATAATGATTTAAGTTATTATATTCTCTTCGTTTTTGTTTTTGTTTGCAAAAACTTAACTTTTGCGAAAAACAAAGAAAATATTAACTCAAAAATACGAATTTATGACAAGAAAAGTCTTCTTTATTGTAAAAATAAAAAAATTAAACAGTTATAGTTAAAAACAAAAAATATCACAGGTAGAAATACCTGTTAGATTACAAAGTAAAACGCTTACCATATCTGATGATTGTAATCGTTGTTAGTGACGAGTCATATGAATGTGTAGCTTTCTCGTCTCGTTTCTCTCTTTTTTTTTTTTTTTTCTTTCTCTAATTGATTATGCATACACCATCTCTTCTTTTCTAGCCGTCATCATCACATTATATGACCTCGTACTGATTTTTTATTCATGTAAATTTTCTTTTTTTTCTCGCTCGCTTCATTTATGTACAACATGTATATATATTATATGTTGATTTGATTCATCATTATCATCATCATTAAAATGCATACAAGAGATATTTTCTATTATCGGGTATATCACTTTTAGATTTCACATATCAAATAAATATTCAAAAATGTATATTTACTAAAGAAAGAGAGAAGAGAGATTAGAATAATTATTTTTTAAAAAGAAAAAAAGAAAAACATGAATGATCCTTCTATTGAATGGTAATTTCGAAAACAGAATATTTAAATACATTAAATAGAATTCTACTTGTTTTTATTAGTATTGCACAATCGATTACTTGACAAGAGATTCGGATTTTTTTTGTTTTTAGGAATATAGTAAAGGGATAATGTGTTATGTGTTTGATTTCATTAGGATATACATTTTTCATTTGTTCTATAGAACTAATAAATAATAGATAAGCAGAATACTGTTTTACATCATATAGTTTTAAGTGGCTATAATAACTTACACTTGTTTCTTTAACTTGCAAAAACACTGAAGATTTTTACTAATAAACAGAAGATATATAATTACTGTCTAAACCTTTTTCTTTTAAAAAGTAGAATATAGCTGAATTAAAAATTTAAATATATAGGCTCAGCATCATTTATATGCATAGAAAATTTCTTGAGTAGTCATTATCATTTCCGGAGGGGAAGAACGATTATAGAAGGAAGTCATTTTCGGCTTGTCAAAACTAATTAACTCATTCTTTCATTAGTTATTTAAATTGTTCAATAAAGAAAAATATCAATTCTTACATTTCCTATTTGATTATAATCCTCGAATTGTATATTTTTGGAATACTACTGTGAGAAATATGAATATATAAGAATAAATATCGATTCTATGTAGTTTTTATTTTAAATATCTAATTATCAATACAAAAAAAAAGCAGAACAGTACATGTCGTAGAATAATCTATTAAAACAAGAAAATTTTTCAAGACGGATGTCATCATTGCAGAAGGAAAATTGATCACAAGGAACAATCCATACAATAGTTATTCAGCATCACGAAAAATCAGCGTTAATGTTGAGCCCATTAAATAAGAATCATAATTAATGATAATGTAAATTCATATAACATTGGATTATAAAAAGTAATTAATAATCTTAACTTAATTCGTGTATTAGTTATTCATGCATATGGTCAAACCACTAAAGAGTATGCTCTCCGTCTTATCAGAAAATTTTGAAACTTATGGTAGATAGATTTCGATGAATAGAGCAGACGTTGTCATAGATTCAAAATTCTCAAATGTTTCTTACTGAGAGTTATCGGGGTTGCAAAGGCTGAAAAATCGTCTTTCTCATCTAGAGCCTGTCGGGTTAGTATCAGATTCGAACCCAATGAGCTTTAATCATCTGAGAGATGTGTAGGATGTGCTAGTCACTGAATCCAAAAAAAAACAAAAAGTATTTCGAATCTTTGGAGCGACTATCCAATTCCAATTAGACAATTTCATTGAAAATATCAAAGTATGGTTCGATTGGGCCCGAAAGTTTTGAGCCTAACGAGCACCACTTTCATTGCCTCGCTTTCGCAGCTGCAATACATCTGATAGAGTTGACAGTTTCTAACAGATACCAGACACTGTTTGAGGTACTCACTTTTTTTCTGGTTTCTTTTTATTTTCTTTCACTCGAATAAATGATCATAATACTGAGCATACACGCAAAAATACATGTGTTTTGTTAAATGCAACTTCTTTTGATCAACACTAGTGAAAATCAGCGATACATTATATTTTGAAACAAGAAAAAAATTAGCTACCCTAAACACTTTCTAATATATAAGTAGAAGAAAGTTTCAGTTCGATCGGATATACTGTGATTGAGAATCGGAGTCGAGTGTCAACTTTTTTTATCGAAAAAATCATTCTTCGAAAATACACGAAATAATATGTAAATTTTGAAGCGCATATAGAATAAAAATAAAAAGTCTAAAAACTTATGGTCGGGAAAGAAACGATCACCTTAGCTTTCTATGACAACCAAGACTACCGTGAAAATTTATCACTATCGAGTCCAATCAATGTTCCAAAGGACAAATTCCATATTGTGTGAATTTAAGAAAAAAAAAATCAGCATTTTCGATGACATTGATTAAATTTTATCTTCATTCTGACATACATTGACTGAATCACTTACAGTACTTCATTTTATTTCTTTTTTTTTGACTCGCATGAATTCAATATACTCAATTACCTTGATGCTGATGCTGGTTGTTTTTCAGCCTATTGAAAATTACCATATTACACTCTCATCCAGTCAGTGATTTTGTTGGCAAGACTGCCATGTGAAGGATAAAGCGTGTTTCGTAAAAATAATAATAAAATGCTAATCATTAGATGTTTTATAGAAAAAAACACTGCATATTTTTTTTTAAACACCTATGATTCATATCAATCGTTTACTTCCATTAAAGTAATAAATGCTTGTCTTAAATGCTAGGTAGATGATCGAAAAATTTTTAGACAAGATATTTGTTCACGTTTGACTCGCTAGGAAGTATTTCCGACGAGTCAAAAGCTATAAGTTAGGACCAGAAATTTTGTTCCAGACTAGTGCACGGCAAAGCACCTAAATTTTCGTTCTTCCTAAATATTTATTTTTGAAAAATCAACAACAACCGTTTTAGGTTGCAAGAAGCTCTTGAAAACAATCTTCGTTGAAAGCTTGCTCTACAAAACAAATGACTCCGACAACTTTTAGCACATTCGAAAAGAGATTTATAGAGTAAACAAAAACTTGTTAGCTCACCATTAAAAGTAACTTTTCCAGGTCTTTCAAAAAGTCCCTTACTACTCTTGAACAAAAATAGATACAACATCTCCAAACCGATATTCGAATTTCGATCGCGACCTATAATAGCTTTCTACTCGTCTAAAATGCTTTCAAGTAGGCCAAAATGCACAAATATGTTCACCGAAAACATCGATCCACAAGTTTCGTCCAAACTAATTCTTTGGACTTTTCAAAGGTTATTTCACTCCTGTATAACAAAAACCTTTCTGACCATACATTAGACTAATGTTTTGTTAGCGATCTTTTTCACATGAATTGATATTCCATTTTGCCCTGTATTTCTTCTTGATCAGTTCAATTGTTTGCAATTTATAGAAATAGTCTTATGAATAAAGTTATTCGATATCAACGATGAAATTAGTAAAAAGAAAATGGCGCTATTAATATAATGAATCGTTGCGATCGTTTAATAGCATTATGTGGTTCTATACTTGGTATATTAGCTTTAATTGTTGCTTGTACAGCTTTATCTTCACGTAATTGGGAAAAAGAAACCAATATCGATTATTTTCATTCATCACCTAAATATAATCAACTTCATCTATCTCGAATTATGAGTATTTTTAGTCTTATTTTCACATTTATCGGTATAATTACATCATCATTTATGATTATCAAGTAAAAAAAAAAAAGAAAATTTTATTTACTTATTCCAAGAATTCAATGGTTTTTATAGACATTTTTGGAAGTATTGGAATTTATTAGCCCCCGGAGCTTATCTTCTTGCATCATTAACTCTTCTTTTAGCTATGTGTGAAGCATCTCGATTAATGCATCATAATGGTTGGCCATCATATATCTATGGAATATCATTTAGTCTACTTCTATTAGCAACACAAATTATGGCTGCACTTTCAGGAAAACTTATTTTTTCCTATCAATCATTATAGAATATTTATTCATTTTATTTAAACATGTATATATTAATAAAATTCATCTTCGTCAGTTTTATTTCGACATACACATACAGCCATAATTAATGCAATTAACTAAAAAAGAAAAACAAATAGAAATTTATAAATTAATTTTATCTAGAATGGTCGTTTTTTTTTTTTTTGGTTTCTTTCGTTTTTACTTCAAGTAAAGCAATTCCTATTCCAACAAAAACAATTAATCTTGAATAAAGTTGCATATATTCATTTATGATTTGAAAACAACCTAATCGATATGAATCAGTATCATTACAAATACCATTTAATAAATGATTACAACACGATGATGGAAGACGATTACCAAATATTTTATAATCAGTATTAGCATGAAAATCAGATGGACCATCAATACCACAACATGTAAACTAAATCAATATATAAGTTTTTTTTTGTTGAATAATTATTAAAATTTTTATTTGTCCTTAACATTTCTAATGCTTTCATGATCATAGCACCGTTATACGATATTACTATAAATATATGTCAAGTGAACGAGAAGGAATTGTAGATTTAGAGATCTATAAAAAAATCATAGACTCTCTAAATGGTGTCTCGTAAATTTTGAGCCTTAACGAAAATTAGTTTATATGTAAACAAAGAGTAGTCTCTACCTAATTGTATCTACATAAGCTTCGAATACTTAGGACGATGTTTTTAAATGACATTATCTCGTTTAGTAATAGTGATATAAACAGAAGAAACGTGATAATTAGGGTGTGGGTACAGAGAATAGCCACATCTACACTAGATACTACGTATCGCTTTGTATAATTATGTTACGTTACATACGATAAATTTATAATTCATTAAAACTTTTAAAAATAATGAAGTTATGCAAACGATTTTGCAAAGTTTTGGATAATTCTACAAGTACTAACTTTTATAGTGTTAGTTGAAATTTCACATAGTTTGCTGTTTTTCTTTGATGTATATTACCCGATTCTTAACTTCTATGAGTAAAATGAAAGCGAAAAAGCAACGATAAAAATCATACCGATTAGATGTAGAATAAAAAAAAACTTTTTTTTTTTATCAATACCTGTTTATGAACAGTATCCAAATCAAATTCAAATCTTTGTGGTATTGAATAATTATATGTTAAAAGACGTCTTTTTAATGTATTGGGTAATCTTGTATCCCATTCATCACCTAATAGTACTGTATACATAGCTACAACAAGTTCTCCACCCATGACAAGTATAATAAAAAAGACATACTATATAATTAAAATAATGTTTTGTTTTTTTTTATTAATCAAAATATTTATTTTTTAAATTACTTACAAGTCCAAGTAAAAGTCGAGATTCACGTACTGAACCACAACACCCAAGTAAACCAACAATAAAGACAAGTGCACCAACACCAATTAATACATAACCAACATTAAGAAATGATGGTACAAGATGTGAATCATAAGATAAAAGTGCAAATAATTCATGTAAATCACGTTTATATAAAACAAGAATTCCACAACTAAGAAAAACACCACCTGTTAACTAAATGAAAGAACAACAATCAATCAATAATTAAAAAATAATTCAATACTTTACCCATATAATTAAATTGAAAAATAAAAGTAAATATTTCGCACATAAACAACAAGCCATTGTTTAATAATTAGATTGAATTAAATCAGTAAATCACAAATATATAAAAGTACAATGATTAACTGTCACAAATGTCAAGTGTTGATCGCGGACGGATGATGAAATCGAACAATGTACTCTCTCTCTCCCTCTCGTACTGCAATTAGAACAAATACTTTTGCTATTGTTCGTTCACCTTGGACAACGATGCAGTGTATAGATAAGAAAAAGGAACAAAAACAGTGAGGGAACGGTGAAATTCATTCCTTTTCTTTTTTCTCACATTTTCTTCTTTTTTTTCTTCTTCTTCTTCTTCTTTCTTTTATTTTTTCAAGCTAAACCATTGTGCATACTTAGTATTAGTTCTGTTGATGTCGATGACCAATTAATAAAATAGGGACATCGCTTCATATGGATTAACCAAGAGAACAATCAATGATCCTTTTCGTTAAGAATGGTATAGAAAGAAAACAAAAACAAAAAAAGTGAGTTGTTTCCGTCTTAAAGGAAATACTAAATGTCGGAAATCTTTATGATATATATATATAGTCACTAATGAAATGATAGAAGATTAATTAAAGATCAAATAATATGATTTGATTTTATGCAATAATGATGAGATAAATAATCACATGAGAATGTCTGTTGTTTATTAAGATGAACATTTGTTTTATTTATTTAATAAAGGCCAGTATGTCGGTACATGTGATTTTATGAATATATCAAGTATTGTATTCATCAATCAACAAAATGATCAATAGACATTGCTCTTATTATTTTTCTTTTTTTTTTCCGAAGAAAATCTTTTCATTGTTAAAGTAAAGATTAAATGATGTTTAGAATATTACATTTGTTTTTGTTTTTTTAAACAAAAGATAATTGAGAAATTTATAGGCTTATTAATTTTGTTTGAAATCTGAAGTGTTTTTTTTAGCTTAGAGCTTAACTATTTCAATAAAAAAAAAAAAACAGCTAATCCGACATATGTTTAGTAAATCTATGAGAAAAAAATGAACGATGTGATTTAGCTTAACAAGTCAATCTTTTTTTTTTTTCTTTTATTGATTTTGAGATTTATTTCAATAGAGTATGTCAGCTATAGATAGTCAAAGAAACTGATGATTTCATAATAATTGAACACAGAATAACAAGTAACGGAAAAAAAAATACATGTAGTTTGTTTTGTTAGTGCAAAGTTCTGAATAGCAGAAAATACTTTTCTATAATTTTTATGGTTACTGGAAAATATTGCTCAGAATTCTATTTAAGTAAGTATCTGCACATATTAATCAAAATGTTGAATTTCTCTTGACTCTACTAATAGCAATAGTTTGTGAGAAACTATTCTGCTCTAATGCCTAATTAAAAATTTCAAACTTACAAATATTTGTCTTCAGTATATTTTTACATTTGTTTCGGACTAATGATCTACTTTTTTTTCCATACAGTTACTGATTTCTTATAAGAACACTTCAAAGTTTGATTTTTTAATAATTGATGAATTGACTCAACTGATAAACATGAGAGAAATTAAGCTCTTTGTAACAATTATTGACTGTTAGACATCACTTCTCTTCTCAATATGACTTCTTCATACTGTTGACCTTGATGATGTGTGTTTCACGTTCGCTTTTCTTCTGTGACTAGTATATAAGCGTGCATTTGTACTGATATAGATACGACTGGAATGATGACGTAGCTCAACAAACATCGTTATCGAGGGTAGCGATGAAACTACTCTTCCAGTTCTTCACACTCTTGAAATTGTATATTAATCATATTGTTTCATTAACCCTAGTAGTACCGGCCTTTTTTAAGCACTTTACTATCAACATATGTTTTCATAAATTAATTTTGTTTACTTTTGGATCAGTTTCCTGCAGAGGTGCAGAATCTGCCGCTAAAATAAAAAATTTCCCCAAACGGCAAATTTTTTATGAAAAATTTCCCCCACTATAGAATTCAATGAAAAAACGAGTCATTCTCGTTAAAGATGATGTTTATTCAAAAAAGAATAACTACGACTTCTGAAATCTTTCATTTAAATGTTTCTTCGGGATGTTTTTTTCCAATGTTCTTCTGCTTTATCTTTTCGTCCGACCCATTCACAATAAAAACATGATACCTGCTGTTTACTCGGGTACATTTTTATTGTTCAGATATGTTAAAGGTCTTAAAAAAAGTAGATAAAACAAAAATGAGAGACGAGAAAGGATTTGTCAGTGAATAAGGATCATCTTGTTCATCATCTACTGTATGACTATATATTAGTCATTCTAGAGATCGTGTACGCGTACGTGTACACAATAACAAATAATATGTACCGACAGAGAAAAGACGGCAACCCAGGACGAGCAATCCGACAGTCGGATTCCGTCGGATCTTGCCAGGAAAATTATCGGATCCGACAGGGATTCATCAGAAGTTGTTGGAATCTTTGGTACAGGATTCCGACAGGAAGTTGTCGGATGTCGGAAAGTGTCAAAAGGGACCCAAATCCTATCGGAATCCTGAAAATCCGACACTTTTCAACGTCCGATAATTTCCTGTCGGAATCCTGTACCAAGGATTTCTACAACTTCCGACGAATTTCCATCGGATCTAATGGGATGAATTCGACCTGGGAAGTAGTGGCATTGCATTAGGGAAAAGAACAAAATGAAAAGAGGAGAAAACAAATAGTGTGTTTTGTGTCGTAAATTCGCACTACGAGAAAGAGCGAAGGAAAAGTAGTAAGATGCAGGATCACCGTGAACAAAAATAGACGATATTGGCACTACGAGAAAGACACGGATGATTCTTTTTAAAAGTTTAACAAAAATAAAAGAAAGAAAAAAGATGCAAGATCTTATTGATGCAGATATAAATAAACTAAGATTTGTTTGGAAAACTATAAGATTTTTCTTACAAGGGAAAATTATTTTCCTACGAGGGAAAAATAGTTTCCTACGAGGGAAAATTATTTTCCTACAAGGGAAAAATAGTTTCCTACCAGGGA